TTATGATAATTTTAATTGTATTGTATTAGTAGATTTTGAATAATTCTTTAGAAAATTTATGCGTAACATTTAAAAAGAGTAAAATACTTTTCTTGGGATAAACTTTAATCTAATAAATAGGCTTTGAATATAATACATGTATGTAAGCAAGTATAAAGGTTTTTTGCAACTTTTCACAATTTTTAATTCGAAACAAAGTCCAAAGAAATTTTGCTTTTATCTCTATAAATATATGTACACATTGTTGTAAGGAAAAAAAAAAAAAAGAAACAGATAAGTTACAAATTTATGGTGTTCAAAAATTAAGCTTTAGGCAAGAAGAATTATATATGGTGTATGGTATGTGTAAAGAAAAAGTAAAACAACGCAATATCGAATTTTGTATCCTTAAAAATAGTGAATAAATCCATTTAGTCAATTTAGAAAATCAGATATGATGCTATTTTCAAATACAAAAATTAGAAGATAGAACACAAAAGTTGGCTCTTGAATAAGCAACGCTTTTCGAATGCAAATGTAAAAATATTCGTAAATTGATGTGATTTGCAAATACCGATCATTTCTTTTAGATGGTTGATTATACAAAACAACAGTCATTTGAAAAATTCATATTCTCGCTTTCCTCAAATCAGCAGAAATTCAAACGGCTAAATATAATAATTATATGAACGGTGGTTCGTCAAATTTTTCACTTCTGTATTTGCTTAAATTTCAAAATTATAATATGTTAAATTGAGTCTGTGATGTAAATTTTAAAAGCTCCACAGATTTTTAAATATTTTTTACCTTTCAAGTACATTTTAAGAAGGTATGAAATTCTCAAAACGAGATTATGCAATTTTTAATGTTTTTGGACGAATATTACTATAAATAATCGCAAGGTAAAACGCTCAATTTGGGAGTATAAAAATGAAAAATGACACGTAATATGTACCTAAATAACTGCAGTGTTTGAATCTTTTTTATATGATACACATGCTACGTACACGTACATATACACTTAAACACGTATTATGATAGTAAAACACGTTTCCTATCCTACCTAACGATCGTAAAAAAATTTATTTTTTGGATCGCCTAAAATCATAAAATAAATCATTATCTTGTGATTTTAAATTTAGAGGAAGGTAATGTGTGCGTTGGCAATAAGTAGAAAAAAAAAAAAAAAAGAAAATAATACTTAACACGTATGCAAAACTTGCTATACGGAAGCTCGATTCTTCTCCCAATAAAATTTTATTTTTTGTATGTATCACCTATGTAATTTATATGTAATATACATGTGAATTAAAGAAAAAAATTGTGTTTTGAGCTCTTACGAAAAAAGGGACTCAATTGATAAATAAAAGATAGAACATACTCTCTAAAAATGAATCAGTAGTAATTTTAGTAATTGATCAGTGAAATTCACGATTTAACGTTAGAGTAATCAACAACTGTTAAGATTCACTGATTTCAACTGGTTAATCAGTTCATATACGCTGACTAAAATTTATGTATGGAGTATGTAGCTTTTCTAAGACTATATATATTTTAGCAGATATAAATAGATAATTGCGCAACCATAGACGGTAAATGGTAAAAAAAAAAAAAAAAATTAGTTGGTCGAATAACGCGATAATGTAATTTTGGATGTTTTAGCTGAAATACCGATCCGATTTTTCAATAAAAATCTTAATATCGGTTTTATATGAAAAATACAGCGAATAATACTGTAAACTCGTGTATACTACATTACGAACTCAAACACACTACAATAGACCCACGTTCAAACATTACAATATACCCTTTACGTAGAAGAAAAAAAAGAGCAACAAAACGCGAGATTGTCACACCTCATCGGAAATAATAAATATATTTAGCAAAGAGTAACCCTCGTATTACAATTATATAAGCAAAAAGTAATTCGTACCGATATTTTTATGAATTTTTTTTTCTAATTTATTGTGTACAAAAAAAAACTTTAGCAAAAATAATGGCATTGTATGTCCGGGATATCATAACTTAAAACAATTAATTCAACCACTACTCATTTTACGATAAAAACGAGTGACAAACAGTCCAATACTAACTTTCACTTTCTCTACTCCATTGTACATGCACACTTCCCTTTACGCTGCACCTCAAGTGTCCGAATGGCCTCTCCCACGTTCTCCCTAAAATTATGCTTTTCTTCCTCTTATTTCAATCTAAATAATTCTCGAAAAAAAAAATCTTTGCCACGAAAATTCGACGATTCACGAGTATTCTCTCGAGCAAAAAGCTTTTGTTTGAAATAAACAAGAGAGTAACGAGTCTTTGTTATTTTCAAGGAATAAGTATTATAAAAAGAATGCCAAAAAATGAATAAAAGCGATATTAATTGCAATATGTTGATTTTGTAACTCCTGCGATCGTATGTTTCTCAATATTTTGTACAAAGATGAATCGTCGCCGTTGTCGTAATGTGTGTTGGTGACGAGAAATAATTTTGTAATCAAGGCGAGCATTGCGTTTTTATACAAAATCGGCTTCAAGTGGTAACAATAAACGCGATTTTTCTTGCGAAAAAAAAAAAGAATTACCCGAACGAGCGGGCTTTTTTTGAGATGCAAGCGCGACTTTCTCATTTATAGAAAAAAAAAAAAAAAAAAAAAGTATATATATAATGATTTCACTTTCTCATTACTGTGTACAAGTATACAGCTAAATTGAAAAATAATTGACTCAGCTCCGATCTCTTGGAGTTGATTTATCCACACCGCCTAAAATGGACAGCCTTTCGACATTTCATTAATGGACGAGACAAGCGCCGTCACACAACGTTTTCGGTGATCAATATGCGCTACTTATTTTGTTTTCCAATATAATAATAATAATCATGATGAACTTTCTCCTTTCTATGAAAAAAAAAAAAAAAAAAAAACATCAGCTCACTCTCCGTCACATGACTCCTAATTTCTCATCCCACCACTACCCATACGGGGATTACAATTCTCGCGGTAAAAATTTGAGCGAACAAAAGACCCTCTGATTAAGTATTCATTACACCGCGACTAATTAAAATATGCAGAGAAAGAGGGTACGTGTACAAAAAAAGACGAGCTCAATGAGAGAGAGAGAGAGAGGGACAAATAAATAAAAAAAAAAAAGAGAAAGAGGAGAACGTGCCACTCTCGTGAGATCGCGCAAATGGAATTACATAAGGAAGTCGCGGGAGCAAGAGAGAGAGAGAGAGAGAAATGCGAGCCAAGATATATCCCTTCGCTCACGGGAGAGACGAGGAAGAGATGATTGTACGTGTTTTGTGTATATGCATCAGCGTGACACCATACGCTCGATACAAAGCATTTGGGTCCACTCCCCCTTTAATTTGCGTCCGTTGTGTGGGTGCACGCGCTTAATGAAAATACATTGTTGTTGCTATTTCTCGTTGCGTTCCCATACGAGCGAATTTCGATGGCACACCAGTTATTCTTCGATCTGCCCTGATTACATTGCTTTCGTTTTTGTTATCCCTCCTGAAATCCTTTCTTTCTCGTGTATATATAGGTGTGCAATATACACATTACTGTTCGTGCTCGCGAGGCGCGGGGGTTTCATTCATGGGATGTTGTTCGAGCGTATATGTATTGTGTGCAAGCTTTTATGCATCTGTGTCACACAAGAGTCCCGATTTCTTCACTCCTGCAATGCAACCTGTTTTAATATGTATCGTGTATATATAGAGCGCACCGACGAAAAAATCGGGAATAACGAATATTATGTATACCGATCTCTTCTGAAACTCTGTGTACTCGTACGTTATTTTGCATGCCGATGTAATTTGGGTCACAGATGAAATTTCATGATGTTCTCCGATATCCTCGCGCGTACCAGATCGTTCAATAAATCTAAAACCGATCGTCGATACGAGCCCTCGTTATTACCGATCATTAATGCTCATCTGTTGTAAGACAAAAGATCGTCGATCGTCACGTGTATCTCGGAAAAGCCATTAAGATGAACTGGCGCGACTACAGATCTGATTTACAAGACATTGCTATAGGCTTGGTGATCATCAAAAGATCGTTACATACAATCGATATACAAGCCTCCCCGACAAACGAGATCGGATCCTAATCTGCGTCCGATAATTGACCGCCTCGTGTCTCTACGACTTTCACGAGTGTTCTCCTTTTTTTGAGGATTGCGCAAATCACAGCATATATATAATCTACACATATGTATGTTCGTGTGTCTCTAGTAGAGATACGTTCTTTTTAGAGAGCGTGACGATCGATTTTGATGTGCCGATCGATCGGCGGTGGCTTCGTGAGATACTTGGCATCGTTTTAAAAGACACGGATGTGTATACACGCTGCACCGGTGACGTAATTGTATTCATACAAACGAGTTGAATATTTATTTTTCGAAATCGGTTCACTGTACACTCGTATACCGATCTATTTGTACACAAACCGCGGTTTAACGTCGATGCAAAAATTTTAAATTTAACCATCGCGTACAGGGAAAGCTTATACAGTATTGCTGTAGTCGAGTATTTTTGTACGCTCGTAAAATCAGTAAAATACGTTCTTTCCACGTTATTTTCTCATTTTCGTTACGAGGCGTTTTCTCAATTTATTGCTAATAAACAACAAAGTCATGATAACGATTTGGCTACAAAATGAAGTATTTACGACACAGAGGGGGTGATTTAAGGGTATAATAATCAAGCACCAGCAGCTCTGTAGAAAATCGAAATGAGCATCACGATCACGCGAGCAAAGATCAGAGACACACGTGTATAATTTTTACCAGGAATATCGCTCCCCTCGCGCCAAGCGCACTTGTACATGATTGCATCTGCATTGTTGCGCCTCTACCCGTAAGTACACCTAATCGTCGTCTTTCATCTGTTCTTTTTTTTTTCTCCTCCTTTCGTATTTTTTCACGATCTCCCGTAAACGCTAATCGCTCGATTACATTTTCTGCTTTTCTTCTGCCTCTCAACTCTCCCTCGAGCTTTTCTGATTTATTGCACCTGTCATTAGTCCGTGACGCGTACACCGCACTCCTTCACTGGAATCATCTCACTTGGCTCATTCTTTCCTAGACACCTATAACAAGTACTACGTGCACTGCGTTTTTTTTTACGCCGATCGACTCTCGATGTTAATTGCGAATGCGTGAAGGATTTGAAAAAAAAAAAAAAAAATGAGAGTTTAAACAAGACTTACCCCGTGACAATGATAATAACAGGTAGAATCTGGGACATCTTGTATCTCTCTGCGTTGAAGGAGGAGAAAAAAAAAAACAGCTCTTCCAAGTGTTCGGTGTTTACCGAACTCGTCGAACTCTCCGCTTTGATCTCGTTGCACAAAAAGGCATCTGGCGAATGGCTTAGTTTACGCGCGAGGCTACAAAAGTCGATTACGTTAGCGGCCCTTACCAGTGTATTTATATTGAGTACAGATGCTGCACGTAAAACGATACGCGTGCATTTACAAATTTTTCGCTGGTAATACTTTCATTGCAATTTAAAGTGTACGAAGGAAAGTCACAGAAATCGGACGCAAGTTAATTGTCAAGCTACATGTTCGTACCACGCATTTAGGGCCCAACAACTTTAAAAAACAAATAAATGAAACTGAGAAGAAAAAAAAGAAAAAAAAAAAAGGAAAAGTTTTCAATACTCCAATTAATCGTACGCAACAAAGTAACAATTGTACAAGCGCGTGTATGCAATAAAACACACGCGCGCGCGTGCACTACACGGCTGAGCTGTTGCAAAGCCGACTGTTGTGGGCCCGCGCTCGCGAAGCTCTAAGGGGGGGGACCCTCCTCCCCTCCCCCGTACTCCCAAGTGTGTGTGTGTGTGTACAGTCGGGACTTTTTCTCTTCTTAATACATTCGCGAGATCGGTAATGGAGAAGGGATTATAGGTCCCCGCTCCCTCTGCTACTTATCGTTTTTTTTTTTTTTTTTCGTGCTCGCTTTTATACGTACATTGTGCATTTTTGCGCCAACTACTCTGCGGCTTGTCGCTCTCGTGACTTGTGTTTGGCCTTTTTTTTTTTTTTCTACGACTCGGGGCCTTTTTTGCATACATGTTGGAATTCGGGTGTATTTGAGATTTGAATGGGTTCGAAGACGTAGCGATTGGTATCGCTCGTAGGTGTACACGTAAGTTTGAATCGTCGATGGGGAGAGGAGTATAAATTATTCCCGAGTCGTGAGACGACGGGGGCTTCTGTTGGGTATATAATGTAATACATATAGGCACCGTGTGATATAATATTTACACGCGCGGCTCAATCGTGTCGTAATCTTATGTAAACTCAATTAATGCATATATATACATATATATATGTGTGTCGGAGTGAATCGATCGCGTACACTGCGAAACTTGTATAGATTTATACATTTTCACCGGAATTGCAGTTTTGAGAGAGAAAAAAATCGGCCAAGTTTTAATTCCTCGATTATTCAGCGCATCGGGCCCATTTTCGGCTCACCGTTGCATAATTTCATTGTTCGCGCAACGCGTGTCTATTTGAGTCAAAAAAAAAACGAATAAGAAAAGAAAAGCCAGTCCCACGAGAGAGATCTATCCAACACACTCCGCGTGCACTATCCAAACGGGATCGTAAAAACAAAGGCGTACATATGTAGATGCGTCCCAACACCTTCGCTAACGAAACACCCGATTCTCTTTCTCTTTCGCGGATAGAAAGAAAAATTGCCTTGGCTTTTCCGTGAAAAGGAAGAAAAACACTCGCACGGGATGTGCAAGTACGTATATATACATGTTTTCCCGTCACGGATGCGTATCTCCTCTTTTTCTACGTGCGTATTGTACCCACACGTATGAGAGCGCAGCATAACGGGGACGAGTCGTCCACAAATGTATGCATGTGTACACGTGAATTGCACACCCGAGAGATATAGACTCTTAAGGTGAAGGTGCGGGAGGTCGCACTTTTCGAGAGAGACGCTCCGACGGGCTCTTACATATAGAATCGCCGTTGCCTTGATCCTATACTTGTATGCAGCGACGATCGCAATCTTTTTGTCCTGATGATGATGACGGCGTTTAGCGTGGAGAAGGTGAAGGATGTACCGCTAAGTTTATTGTTTGCATACTCCACTGTACTGGCGAGTTTTTTATTTTTATTTTTTATGTTGAATTTTAAGGAATTTTTTTTTTTCCGGTTTGCAATAAAAAGTATCGATGCTGTAATTTTATTTGAGTAAAATGGAAAAGTGTGGAGATGAGAGCGTCTTCATCCAATTTTAAGATGCAAGGATTGAGTTGCGTTTCTTATGAGAGACATGGATGAAAAGAATGTCATTTCCATTAATTTTTGTGATGCAGAAAGGTTGTATGAAAATCAAGTCTCCGCATAAATCAAAAGGTTTTCTTTGTCGGCCTGCAGCACGATGTTTTTTTTAATGCATTTGCGTAGTTCTCGCACAGAACCGTCCCACGTCGATTTTTGATGAGTGACGTGGCCGGCGCGACCTTGTAATACGGATGGGCATCGCAATTGAAAGTGATAATAAATTTTAAGATCGGCTTAATTGAAAATATTTATTTTTGTAATTATAATTTTTTGTTTTTTACACATTGATGAAGGAATAATCATCATTCCCGAGAACGTTACAAATATACACAAAACTGGCCGATTCAAGTGCAGCCATAATTTTTCGGTGAATTAATTAAAAACAAAAGAGAAAAAAAAGACAAAATAAAAAAGTACGGTAGAAATATCCACCTGATAGTAACTAGTCATCGTCAAAATTGAATAATCGTGTTGCGATCTGGGTAGGGGCTCGGTAAACAATTGCATATATTTACAGGGAAAAATTGAGTGGAAAGATATTTTACTAGAAAACGTCCTTGATGGGAATCCTCTCTTGCCTTTCCATGCTACGCGCGCGTGACGCCAACTGCACGCTTTAGAAAGGCCGAGGATAGAGGGAGAGGCTTCATGTTTCTCTCTCTCTCTCTCTCTGTCTCTTTTTTTTCTTTCTCTGGTGTGTCTCGTGACTGATAAGCCTTCGATGAGGGGCATAAAAAATTCAAAACTCTGCTCCCTCATTATCTTCTCACGGCTGTGGATTACTAGGCTCCTTGATTATCCAGCGGCGCATCGTCTGCGTATGTGTTTTTTTAATCGAATAGAAATTCTTTTGATGCCATAAATATGTTTTTACAATTTTAATGATCAACATACCTTCTTTACTTTCTCAAGTGCTTCAAGTTAGATCATATAGCTGAAACGAGAAAATTCTAACTTGTGCAAATAGATGCTGTACCCTGGCATACAAATACTTGGTTCATTTATTTTTTGCATACTATATCTAAATTCGAAATTAAATTAAAATGACTGATAATTGTACACTCTAGATAGCCACTTCGTCGGTATTATCTAACACAGCACCGCTGTAAGCCAAGTCCCAGTAATGTTCAACGTGGTGTTTCTTAAAGTGCTCGCGAGCTTCTCTCTCTATGGGAATGGTCTTGAATTTTATTTCACCAAAGTGTCGCTGTTTGCTCATACCCTCCCAAACGAGCACACATTTGTTTGGAACGTCTTTGCCATCCATATCTTTTACCGTGTCTTCCTCCCACTTGATCCTACGCAACATCAGTCGCTTGTACTTGGCTATCTGTTTGATACCACCTTCAACCACAACGACATTGCAATCACGGAAAAGCATGACACAGCCCGTAAGGTATAATTGTTTGGCGTTAGCGTCGACCTTGAACTTCTTTGAGGCATTGTTAATGAGGTCGCGGATGCGGAACACAGCCACATGGACTCCCAGCGACGTGTCCTCTTTCAGCTTACGAGCTTTCTTCTCTCGTCTCTGATCGGCAGTGAGTCTTCGAGCAGCGTTTGCATCCTCGTGAGCTTTCAATCTCTTGGCCATCTGCTGGCGTACGTGAGCTTCGATTTTTGTGGGATCTTGCACGGCTTCGGTACCAAGAACGCGCATAAGATTTGAGATGCGGAGTTTCGGCTCTGGTGGTGGCTCGAGACCCAAACGGATCTTTTCTTGTTCTTCCTTCCAGGCCTCTCGGCGATTTTGCCGGCGGAGCTTCTTACGCTCTTTCTTTGTGAGAAAGACAGGGATCTCGATTGGCTTGGTCGGCTCCGTCGGTGGTCTCATCTGAGCTGGATGCTCAACCAAATTTGTGATTGTCGAGATGTTAATGCAACTCATAATGTCGTTGGAATCATTATTGTACTCCTTGTTGAGAATCACAGAGTCCCACCATTCGATATTTGGTACATCTTCGCTAAGAGCCTCGGTTTTGGGTGCTATTAGAGCTAACTTTGTTGAGGCGCTAATACCGGTTTTTCTCGCGATCTGGCTGATTTCATTTTGCAACTTTTCCAATTGAGCTTTCATGCGTATCCTCTCAGCCAGTTGGACAAACTTACCGGGTTCGTGAAATTTCAGAGCACGTTTATTTCTGACCGACGACTTTACGCCAATGCGGTTGTCAAAGAAGTGTGTTTCCTGAAATTCTTCGGTGCCTTTGGAGTCTTGCATCTGAGCCTTGAACTCTTCCCTCTTTTTAGCACGGATATTAGCTTTTAACGTTGGAACCACATGGGTCAAGTGAACTTCTTTACCAGTGATGTCAACAATCCTGCCAGACTCATCGAGAATCAGGGGCTTGGGCTTGTCTGCACTCTGCGCATTACCAAGCAGCCCGGATTTTAATTTGCTTTGAATTTGCATCTGCAGAGCGGCAATTTTTCTAGCCCTTTCGGAATCGGTCTTCTTCAAGAAACCTTGATTGTAAACTGTGCCTATAGAAGAAACTAGAGATTCTGAATTTCTAATTAAGGGCCTTACAGAGTCTAGATCAGGCTTTACTACCTTAAGGGCCTTTTTCCTTTCTTCGATCTGCTTTTGAGCATTGGCCATGACATTGCCGATGTTGAAGCCGCCCTTCTCTTTTGAGGAATTATTAACAGCCTTGCCCTTTGAGTCGTCCTCTTTGAGCTTTAGCTTTTTGGAATCTCTATCTTTATCTCTGTCCTTACTTCTATCATCGTATGACCTCTTTTTTGCTTTTTGGGCAGCCTTCATGTCATCATAGACAGCATATATTTTTTCCGCTACCTTGGTTGCCTTCCTATCATCCAAGAGTGCTGACAATTTGTCTGAAATGATAAAATTAAAACGTTTTCGTTATCAAGCTAATTATCACATAGATAAGTAAAGTATTGCGGACATTACTGAAATAATCTATTAATAGGAACTAAGCTTGCACCAATGGATTCTTAAAAGCACTGAAATAAAAACTAAGAGAGAATAAGCAAGGTGTGAGATTTACGTTAAAAAAATTAATACCAACCAGTGGTTTTACGTCTGTCGTATCCCGAGGCGAGGCAGTTGACGGCGGTGGTGACGATTGCTGACTCGGTGAAGCCCAAGCACCTGCTGACCGCCTTCTCGATTTGCGGCCTTAGCTCGTCCATCTCCTTGCGCGACAAGTACGACATTGTCGCTTTGTTAAAACACACAAGGAATCAAAGTCTCTTATTTAACAAGCAAGAAAACCAATGTTCAATATCAACGACGACGCATTGAGGTTAGGAAGTCGCGTCCTCACAAACAGGCTTACCCACGAGATGTATTTTTCAATGTGATGAAAAGATACACGTCGTCAGAGATGATCTCATTAAAACAAAGAATTCTTGATTATCCTCGTTTGTAAAATTGTATGTGTCTACGACTCTATAGCAAGTTAAGTCTGTACTACAGACTCTGTAGTACAACTGATGGTATATTCATAAATAAAGTGACTAAAAAAGCGATATCAAAAACACTAACACTTAACTACGGAAGCCCGGTCACGACACGACTCACGACACTCACGCCATCTGCATAAACGCATGCGTATATATGAGACGTAAATATTGTACATATATATTGTACACAGAGGTACAAGAAGGTGCGCTTACCGCAAATAGCACAAACAACGTTTTCTGTTTATATATGTCCATCAGTCCATTTTTTTGGTTGCGGCTGGTTTATAATTGAATAAATGGCTCCAAGAGCCTGATTGCTCTGATTCAGAATTTTAGGAGCCACTTTTCGCGAAAAAACGAAGACCGCTAGATGGCGCTGATCCAAATAATTATTTCCATACTTGTACTTATAGTAGAGCCATGTAATTAATTATAAACCAGCCGCAACTAATTTTATGAATAGACAAAAGAAGTTGACATTGTCTGAAATATTTGCGGCAAGTGTACCATTGTTGTGTGCGATTTAAATTTAACATGCAGATTAGATCTTCACTCATTGAAACTCTATTTTCTTCAGGGGAACTCTGCACCTAAATTTTTATACTTAATTTTGTCGGAAATAATATTTATGTAAATGTATAGTGTGTGTATTCACAGAGTAACGTAATTAAAATCAATGAACTATTAGTTTTTTTTTTTTTTTTTTTTTTTTTTTTTTTTTTTTNTTTTTTTTTTTTTTTTTTTTTTTTTTTTTTTTTTTTTTTTTTTTTTTTTTTTTTGTATATAGCACATAAGTAGGTGCAGTGTCGTATTATAGTAAACAAAGTAACGATAAAGTCATTATTTCTAAGATACTTTGTAAGAACATTTTATTAAAGCAAAATAAAATAAAGTGACAAGATAAAAATCATTTTTTTGGTGACTATTAAGAATTAGTTTTCACCATAAAGCGTAAAAGTATATGGCACAATGGATTAAAAATTTGCACCTGGTTTTAAAAAAAACAGATGCCTTACAGAATGTAATTTTTTAAATCCAGTAATGTACTAGGCAAATTACATGCCAAAATAACTTGATGATGAATAGGTAAGATTATTTGATAACAGGTTGAAAAACACTTGGTAGTTTACATCACAAAGTAAAAATAATGTTTGTATCTCAATGAAATTTAACATTAATTTAAAGTAATATCCATAATTTTTAGTCTGTATTTAAAGTCAAAGCTACACCTTGAAGAATCCAATGGGACGGATGCTCAGACGTGCCGAGATCTGCCTCAAAGACTAGACCAACACCCATAGCATTTCGTCGATTTGATGTCGTGTACACTGGCGTCTTTATGGTATTCTTCAAAATCACATACACATATTAACTATATTATAACGTTCCTTATAAATTAAACGATCACAAGTCTTTTTACCATTAGTTTCAATCGATGAGACTCGATTGGTATGATGCTCAAAATCGGGAGAGGTTCAACCAATACCATTGGATGGGACCGTTTCAAGCAGTTCTCCTTCACGTCCCAGCGAGCTCCTTCCAAGTACAGTCCTTGCACGTAACACCCCTGTATGGAAATAAATCGGTATTACAAGAAAAAGCCTTCTCCATACTAATCAAGTCAAGACATGTACCTCATCTGGTCGTTCCTCGACCTCTTCGAGATTGATGAAGCGCGAGACCGCGGTGTACATGACCGACCGATCCAGTGGCCAGTTGTTTCTCCGACAGGCCATTTGGATCAAAGCCGCGAGATACGTCTCGGGAATATGCAACCCAGAAAGCCACATGACCATGGGCTCGTTGCAACCAGCCTGAAATAAACAACCGTTTGCATGCACGTACGTCTATAAATCGGATAAATGGATAAAATGTATGTGTACACACCCAACTGGTGTACTGAGCAATGCGTTTCTCAAAATGCTCCATCCAGCCAGCAAGATTTTTACGAGTGTCTGGTGCTAATCTCGCCCACTCTTGGGGCAAAGCTCCGTTGTACAGTGAGTTCGCTACGTTCTCTAGCACTGCGTCCATGCCTATTTCACCAGCTATGGCCTAATGGTGACGCATAGAAATTAAATCGATTTTTCGTGCTAATAACTCGACTCGCTCTCTCGTACCTTTCTCAGTTGCTGCAAAGTAGTTGTCATCTTGTTTATGAGCTTGTTGAATCTTTCGAGCTCCTGGAACAGAACTACCGTTGTTGGTGAAATGGCCAGTCCAAAGTTCCTTTTGATTTTTGCCATGTCGTATTCGGCAGGCAATTTCGCTAAAATGTCCTTGGCCAGATTGTCGACGAACTCTTCTCTGCTCACTCCAGATCCGCCGACCACTGAATCGAAGTAATTTGTTTGCTCAGTATCGATAATATTCTCGACATGTTGGGCACACTTTTACGTTCTATATATTCATGCTTTCTACATTATACACACACAAAAAAAAAAAAGAAAAAAAAAAAAAATTTTCGTGACTTACGAACTTTACTTAGGCAGGCTGTAAAATTGTATGACTTTGTTATATGCTTAGCACATTTTGTAATTGTCCACGCGTACATGAGCGTATAATTGATTCGTTAAGCTTTTTGGCAAAATATCGTTCAAGTAAACCTACCAGTTTGCGGCTGAAGATCAATGAGATGTGCCCACATGTCCTTAGTCGCCTGGGTAAAGTAGCCGATCTCGGCGTTGGGATGAAGGCCAAAGACTTCCGGTGTATTTACAAGTGGCAGCGACTCGATGAACTCGAGGTAAGACTGCCGATCTCCCGGGATCGGCACTACGTAGTCCACTTGCTCGTCTTTGTAAAAATGATACGGCTGGAAGGCGTCGAAGAGGAAATCGCCAAAGTACTCGTCCATGTACACTTTGGAGACTCGCCGATCGTAGCTGTCTATGACTCGGCCTCCGTACATTACCTGCCGGCAAACAATTTCATTGTCGAATTTTTTTTTTTTTTCTTTTTTTTTAATCATTGTTATTACCTCTCCTATCAAGTATTTGAGACTGTTCCAAGGTATGCGAGTTTCCTTCAAGTTCAAGTTCTTAGTCAGGTACGTGTCTAATATCGTGGTGCACACGTTGAAGTCCGAGTCGTTGAAATCGTAATTTATGTTCCAGCCAATTTTATCGTACTTTCGACGTTCCTGAGAAAGAAGCATATTACACAAAAATACACCCATATGGTTGAGAGTGAGACAAAGTACTTGAGGTATTGTATTTACTTGAACAACCGCGTGATAAAACGCCAGAACGTAAATGAGGTTCTTGTACATCGAGTGCTGACAGCATTCCAGAACTTGTTCGTTTATTTTGAAGTAGGTATTCTTCAAATTCAGTTTCAATCCGTTTGGTGGCTCCGTGACGACTGTAAATATATCACAGATTTCAAAAAGATACATCGAGCCAAACGAGTAAGAACGTACCTTTGAGCGATTGCTGCAAAACGCCGATCGGAAAATTCGGAGTGGGATCGGTAGTGAGCCAAAGCCTGAAATTCGAGTGAGGTTGGCCCAAGTTCTCCAGTATTTTTTCGAGCTCCCTCGTAAAGCTGAGCAACAAATGGCAGTTCTGCAGCATCAGCCACTGGCCACCCGTCACCGCTGTTTCCAGCAATTCTATGGCCGACTGTGCAACAACACGATTTCGTGAGATATCGGTAAGCACTTTCTTGAATTTAAGTATGAAACAACCGCTGACCTGTTCTTGTCCCTGGCCCAACGACAGGTGCCTAAAGTTTCCAGAGCCAAAGCCGTGTCTCTCGGCGAGCTTGATCAGTTCGCTGGTAGGATCAGACCCTGGGCTCAAAACAAAGACGACCGGCATGGTCGAAGTGCTCTGCTCGTATATGGCCTCGAAACCGACGCTCGGCGGCGTCACGTACTCCACGCCCATTTGATTGGTAATGTAGATGACAAGCGCACGGTACACACGGTCCGCTCGGAAGCAGCGCAACAGCATCAGGTGCTCGAAAGGCACGAGCTTGGACGAGTAGCCGCAGGGTAGATCGGCGGATTCCGGGCTGTCCAGGTCATACCACTGGGAAATCATCAACACCGGTGAGTCGAAGATAAATTGCAAAAAATTAATATTCCTTACGCTCTTCCATTCCGCGCCGTGAAGCTCGAGCTCGTCCGGCAACTGACTGAACCGGTCGGGAAAGTCGTTCGCCAGCTTGAGAGTGTCTTCCCAGCCGGAGACAGAGAGCCAGCCATCGGTGGGATTTTCCCTGGTGGATCTCTCGAGCGAAACGTTGCCTTTGATGAAAAAGTCGAGCTCGGCTTGGCTGACGCGTCCCAGGTCTCTTTCGATCCGTGTGCAAATCTGGAAGGAGAAGAGCAGCTTGTGCCTCTCGAAGAGGCCGGTGCAGCCGTAGTCGTAGACGTTCCGCGTCAGCGTCCTCACGACGTTTTTGAGTCGACGCGCCAGCGTGGGATGGGGCAAGGCCTTCTTCAACGACTGCACAAAGACCTTGACGTAGCTGCTGAGCGAGTACTGGTACATGGAGTTGACGATGGCCATGTCGGCCAGGACGAAGAATAGTATGGCGCCTCGCTTGGCCGCGGCTCTGTAGTCCTCGCGCAGACCGTCTATCTGTCTCGACGTGACGACGGCCTCGCTCAGTTTGACCGACACCTCCTGGGCGCTCGATTTCGTGTTGTCCAGAGTCTCGATGAGGTCGATGTTGTCGAGCATGTTGCCCTGGTTACTGGCTATCTCGAGCAGTAGGTTGTCCTCGAGTTGCTGGAGCAGGGCTTTGTTGGCGCTCGTCTCGATCACCAGAGCCTCGCGCTGCTCCTCTATGTCCGGGCGCTCGGTGCGCACGACCACCGACAACAGCTGCTCCTCCAATCCCTTTTTCAAAGGACAAACAATCACATTAGCCGCAGAGGAGCGCGGTCTTTACATTGTGGTACCTACACTCGTCGTGACCATGTAGTTGATGACGGTAGCTTTCGCGTAGATGGCCGGGTTCAGAGCCGGGTTCGCGTGCTTCGTCGTCAAGTACATGCGGAATCGTGGATCGTAGTCGACTTCTTTGTCCCCGAGCATGACGAAACTCCGACCGGGAGCAGCTGTGGAAAAAAAAAAGGTACGAGCTCTACGTTTGGTCGATTTTTACGATTAAATGGCACGGGATGACTTGCTCTGGATGTTCTTCATGATGACGTTGTCGAGGACGGGGTCGACGTAATCGACGTCTTGGAAGAGAACGGGAAAGCCGTATTTGATGGCGATCTCCACTTGCTTGATAAAGTCCGAGTCGCTGAAAGTGAGGATCTTGAGGTTCGACTTCTCCTCGCGCTTCTTGATCCACTTGAGGGCTTGCTGCTGGGGGTCTATGCAAAGGGGAAACCGCGACGACCTGACCGTCAGTATGGCGTTCTGGACTGACAGCTCATCGGGCGGCAGACCCTCCGAATTCCAGCTGAAATGGTACGATGACATTGAAATGTGCGGCGCTGGACCGTAGGGTATAGGAGATTAAATTTCGGTACCCGCTAATCTCGACGTCGCTGCTGAGTTGGCTTTCGATTTTGAAAGGTTGCGACAGGGGGATCTCTTTTTCCAGGATGCTCTGTTGCCAGTCGTTGTAGAGCATCTCGTTCCTGAACTCGAACGTGAACGGGCCGTGGTAGGCTAAGAACTCGGAGGACAGCAAACAGTTGCCGACGATCTTCTCGAGCTCGACGTTCAGAGCCTCCAGTTCTCTCTTCCAGCGCTCGTTCTCCGACGACAGACCGCTGTAATTGTAAAACCCATCCACATTGTACGATCCGGACCACAAAACGCCAAACTCTAAAGGTATAAGAGAAAAAATGGTATACACCATACTTGATCAGTTTGTCCGCAGCGACCAGGCGCCTCTCCAGCAGCTCGGTTTCCTCCTGCAGTCGTTGCCTCTCCGACATGGCAGTCTTGTATTTCGCGTTGAGCTCCCGCAGTAGCTTCTCCAGTCTTTTGAGCTCGCGCTCTTCGTGCTCCATGGCCTTTTTCGCCTTCTCCGATTCCGACTCTAACTCTTTAACCCTTTCTATTTTCGGTTTCACCTGTCGATTTAAACACCCACCATCCAATGACGATCATCCAACAATTGAACGATGAAAACAATAATAAAATTAATCCGTACCTCGCGAAAAACAGCGCAGTAGCCTAAAACGGCCATGACGAACTTGTACAGCCCGTAGCCGGCCTTGCTGATGGTCCTCATTTGTTCCATCTTGTTTGATTTTTTCAGGTGAGTCTTGACCATTTGCTGCTGCTTCAAAGTTATCTCGTCGCAGTTCATCTCCTGAAGGAGGCGCAAAAAGTTCGGGTCGCTCATCATACCCTTGGCGCTCTTCCACGAGATTTCGCGCACGTTCCTCAGAATCGCGACGCACTCGCACACCACTTGCACCGGCTCTGGCGGCGTTGCGAACGACCTGGGTTACGTGCATAAAAAAATTGTCCATAAAAATTCCACCACAAAAAACAACAAAAAAAAAAAAAAACCATCGTCCACAAACCTGATCTCGGTGATGTCGGACTTTTCGAGCTCGCTCAGAGCCTTCCTTGCCCTCTCGAGGGTCGGCTGAGCCTCGGCAAGGGCCTCCCTGGCCTCGGTCGACTCTTTGGCGATCATCTTGTTCCTCTCCTCGATTTCCCTTCGCTTCTCCTCACCCAAGGCTTTCTTCGTCACGGCTATTTCCGTGCTCTCGCCTATGCTCACCAGCAAAATTTCGCAGTTCTGCGTTTGCTCTTTCACTTTGACTCGCTGAACCGCCAGTACGGCGTTCAACTGGTCGAGGTTCGCCGAGGCGTCCGCGATTTTTGAAACACCTCCCGAGAGACGGGCGCACTGAACGTTTTTTTCGTTCATTAATAATCAATGTGAATACCCTTTTTTCAACCAAAAGTATACCTGCGATTCGATGTAGCTTCGCCGCTCGGAGAGCAAATTGACGTAAGTCTCGAGGGCGTCGAGGTAGTGCCTGGGAGTGACGTAGTTCGGGCGCCGGAGCTTGGCGAGGAAATCACTCGTGTACGCGTTTACCAGGACATGGGCATGAACGGCGTGGCGCACCACCGCCTCCCGATGAACGTCGGGGATAAAAGCATTCTGTGTTGGAAAAAAAAAATAATAATAATAATAATAATAATGATAATATCAATGAAAATAACCTCGTGTAATCGTTTAGTTGCTCACGTCTCTCAAGGTCACGCTGGCCACGGCCAGGAGGGCTTGCTCCGGCCACGGGAATATCCAGTCGATCGTCGTGCAATTGACGAGTCCCGGGTAGCTGCGGCAACGCGCTCGCAGTATGTCGCCCGACGGGCTCATCGACAGCGCGACCCGTAGATTCTCGCTGCTCCTCTTCACGAAGAACGCCCACACGTTCTCCCTGCAAAGGAAGGCCAAAAGTTTTCTTTGGCTTGAAACAAAACAACGATCGCCTCTTACTTCGTGACACCGTAGTTGGCGTCTTTCGCCGCGTTCCTGCAATTATTGACAATTGCGTCCTTCTCGTCGTCGGCGAACAGCGCGGATATCGTGCCGGTCGTCAACAAGTTGTTCACGATCTCCAGGAAGCTCTCGTCCACCACCTGCTCGTCCGTGAACATGAAGACGGTACTCTTGTTCTCCGCCCCAGCCATCGTCAGCAGTTTCTTCGAGCCGAACAATTTTATTTTACTTTGGAACGTGGTATTCTTCAGAGTATCGTTTTGCATGTACCTTCATGTCATCGCGGAAGGCTGATTCGTCGTAGCCGCGACTGGGGGCGATTTCGAAGAGTTCGCAGTTCGCGGCAAACGCGGCCAGTCGGATGGTCGACCGTCGCCCGCTGCCCCCGACACCTACAACGAGAGCATGGCTGCGGGACATCCTCAAGGTGCGGTGGACTCGCGTCAGGTGCTCCAGAGCGTCGTTGAAGAGGACCATGCTCAGTTTGCCGATTCGCTCGTTGTGCTCTTCGAGGATCTGCGATGGACCAAACGAATCCGTGGGAAATGAGGAACGAAGCTCTATCCTATGCAAAACCGTACCTCCATGAACAGGCTGTAGACCGCCTCGTAGTCGAGTAGGTCCTCGTAGAGGCGTACTTCGTCCTCACTGCAGGCGTTTCGAAAGTCACCGAAGAGCAGAGGCTCGCGCGAAACGTAGGCAACCAGTTCCTCGTCCAACTCCCACGTGCTGGTTATCTTTTCCTCCATGTGGGCGTGTACGAGCTCTTGGTCCTGTTTTTTGGAAACATCTACGATGTCAGAAACATTGAGCAATAAATCCGAGAGGACATTGGGATATTTACGGTTTTGGAGATGAGCCGGTCGCAAAAAACTCTGGTGAACTCGTTTATCCACAGTCGCACGAACTGCTGAGGCAATTTGAAGTGGTTTGGATCGCTTTGCAATAAGCCAACGGACACCCTCGACAAGTCCCGCATGTTGAATATGTAGTGGAACTTTGACGGAGTCGGTGGTAGCTCGTTGACTATCAGCTGGAAAGATTTTTTAGTTGGGATTTTTTTTTTTTTTTCGCATATTTAATAGTAGCAAATAGTGACCTTGTAAAGATCCAGACTCAGACTGATGAGTTGGTCGGCCAGTTCTTGAATCGTTTCGGGGAAAATTTCCAGGTGCCCCGAGAGAATGCTCTTGTAGATGTAGTGCAAAGTGTCGTCGGCCGGAAAAGTGACGTTGTACACGGAAAACATCGATACGAATCGGGGGTCCACGTCGTGCCTGCCGCCTCCAGATTTCCCCATCGCCGCCAGAAAACCTGACCAACGCAAAGCGTATTATATTATTTCAGTAACTCATTTTGGCGCAAACTCACGACCACGCACTTATGTCCTTGATACGTTTCCAGTTGAGGTCCTTTCCTCGATCGTACATGCCACCCTTCTCGACGAGCAGCTTCAACAGAGCGATCGGTTGCTGAGTCCCGTACGTGTCGACCATCGGCATGTTCATGTCATCGATGAAGACGATCAAACGTCTACCCGGAGGTGGCCCGTAAACGTCTTTGGTCCTCTTTTCCACGACCGACTCGATGTTTCTCTGCACGTCCATCGACGTTGTTCTCGACGAGAAATTAATCGACAAGTTGCTCTGAAACAAAAGCTCGGATCGGATCAGCCGGTAAAATCAGGCCCAAAGGTAGCTCGCGAGCTCACAAATTTCTCTGGATTCAGATTTCTGAGAAAGTCCATGATGATGGCGCTCTTCGACGTCCCGGTGTCCCCGACGAGCGCGATCGGCTTCTTGGCGTTGTTCATCAGATCGACGTACCAACTGGCCCTGATCGTGTCGACGGTGGGCACCAGAATTTCCGCGAATTGCTTCGCCCGGTCGTGGACGTACTGGGGCACGAGCTGTCTCCAGGGCGTCCAGACTTTGTTCTGCACGTTGAGCACGTAGTCGTACAGCTGGGAGTACCGCACGGGGAGGTAGCGAAAGCCCGCGGGCTTTTCCACCGAGTCCTCGACCATCATGAGACCCGAGGTCTTTTTCATGAAGTCGTCAAAGTCTTTGCGCGACTCCGAGACGATGACGGCCCCCAGGGAACAGTAGCACGCTTGCAGGTACACCGCTTCCAGGGTCTCGTCACGCGACTCTACTTTCTCGCGGAACCGAGTCTCTTCTTCTTCGCTGCGCTCCTGGTCATCCTCGTGCACGTACTCGTCCACCGCCGGTTTCGGATACAGAACGTCTATCGTCGCACACAGTTGCACGACCTGTTTCTCATAGCCATGCATACATTTATACCTTTGAATTTTCAAGAAGAAAAAAAAAAAAAAAAAAAAAAAAAAAAAAAAAAAAAAAAAAAAAAAAAAAAAAAACTGTATCGCGTGATTACCATATTAAGATTCGTCTGGGGAATGACCAGTTTCAGGGGAGTCAGTTGCTGGAGTCCGAGCATTCCATCGATGATGTACTTTATGGCGGGATGCACGTATTTTTCGCACAAGTTGCGGAGGACGCTCTGCTCCGACTTGTTACGGCTGTTGATCCATTTTTCCATGTAAGGCTGGTAGCCCAAGTTTTTCGGGTCTACGTAGACCATACCGGCTCGGGAGACCGTAGCCGGCGAAGCGTATTGCAAATCGCCGACCTGATACGTGTATTACGATTATTTGCTGAATTATAAGAAGATAAAATAAAAAATTAATAATCACTTCGAACAACAGATTGCAGTGATCTTGGAGTTTGATTCGTTCTTGGTTGGCCAGAGTCAGCAGTTTGTTGTCGTCCATCACCGAGTTCATGTTCTCGATCCACAGTGCGTCCACGTCTCCGTCGAACATAATGTACTTCCTTTCGTCTTTCCCCGAGTCCAAGGGCTTGTTGACCTCCCGGAAAATGTTGCTGAGCAGACCATCGGTCCAGTCCCTCGTGGTGTTATCCAAGACTCCATAGAGTTCAATGACGGTGCAGGCCTTTGGATTCAAAGTGTACAGTTTCGTGGGCTTGCCGAGTAAGGTCTGGGCGTCGCAGAGCGCCTGAATGACCACCGATTTCCCACCACCCGTCGGCCCCACGACCATAGTCGAGTGCCGGGTCATCATCACCTCGTAAAGCTGAACGACTTTGTCCACCTTGGACGGCAAATAATTGTTTTAAATTATACGTCCAACAACTGGAAGTGATCGCAAAATCACACCTGGTCGGGAATAACGATGTAGTTCTTGTCCTCGAGGGCTTTCTCAACGGCGTCGTTAAAGTCCGGATATCTAACCCTCGGGCAGTCCAGTCCGGGAAAGAGATCCTTGATCAAGCCCAGAAACAGGGGTACATCCTCGAAAATGAACTTGGGCAGGTTCATGTCCCGCAGAGCTCGCATGAGGACCACGTTTTCCGGCAAATCGCCGGAAGTTCGTTTCAACTGGCCGGCCATGTTAAGTACCGATTTGAGGGCTCGCAGCCCGAAATCATAGTGGGTCTGCTTGCTCAGCTGTTCCTTGGCCAACTTGTACAGTACCGTCATTTTCTTGGCGAGTACTTTGGCCGTCAGGAAACCCGCGCTGAACAGCTTTATCTGGCAGATGAGCTCGTTGTCGGGCACGATGCAGACAACCGGTCGGAAGAGAGCTTTCACCGACTCTGGCAATTCCGTCCGACCAGCGTAACCTGGATTCATTGTCTTAACGATCAACGAATGTTTTAATAGATAGATTGTGTGAAATGTAAAAAAAAAAAAAAAAAAAAAAAAAAAAAAAAAAAAAAAAAAAAGCCTGAAAACTCGATTAGGCATGTTTTTTCTGTCATCATAATTTACAGAGACAAAAAATATACGAACTATGAAGACTCCCACTTTGGAATCCAGCGCGATGTCTTGGTTCTCAAACTAAAATGATCATCGTCTATTGAAAAAAAGCTGCAGTGTCGCGTTTAAGAAAAAAGTAGATAATTGGTTTATACGATGAATCGAGCGGCTTTGTTTTGCAATGCCGATCTGATGGTTTGCAGTTGAGTGGAGATGACGGAGAGCACGGACACGTCGATCCTGTTGAACTCGTCGAAACATCCCCAGGCCCCGCACTGAGCCAGGCCTCCGAGAGTCTTGCCGATGGCTACGTAGTCCATACCTTCGCCGCAATTGGTGACGACGCAGAGAAGACCCAGAGCCTTTGCCAGATCTTTGGTGGTCTCGGTCTTTCCCGTACCGGCAGGTCCTAAATTATAACGAAAAAATGAGTAAATTGTCTGGATGACGCCGTGATTTTTCGAGAGATTTAATCACCCGCTGGAGCTCCGCCGAGCTGCATCGACAATGCTTGGGTGATGGTCAAATAAATGCGATCGGTCAGGGGAGTGACGACCAATCGCCCATTGAGCCCCATGTACTCGTAGCCGTATTCGAAAGTTCCCGTGCACTGATTCATCCACACGTTGTCCAGGTCGTGTAGCCAATAAAATCTGAAATTGTGTACCAATTCGATCGAACAAAATTGAAAAGGGACGAAAAAAGAGGTGGTGCTTGAAAATAAACCCACCGCAATTGACTTTCCCATTCGAACTCGAGCGCGTCCATAATGCTGTCCCTGACGAATCCTTCCACGATATCGCGCGTATGAACGTCGATCGTCAATACCGAGTCCAACTTTTTTCTGTCGTTGTTCGTCAGCGTGTCGCCTCCCATAAGTTTGACGACCTCGTCCAGTTGGTCGTTCAGCTGCTGAAGATACTAAAACACGATATGTATTAAATACAAAATCGATTGAGTTTTTTTTTAATTTACAATTAAAGTGTACCTCTTTCATGGAGCGCTTTCGTCCCATGGCTATCTTCTTGAAGACGTTTTCAACCTCCGCGGTCCACCAAATTTGGTTCGCCACCAGTATCAGCATCCCTTGGAAATCCAGCATCCATTCGGTCCTTGCTTTGAGCATCTGATTTTTACAAAAAAAAATGTTACTGTCGCAACTGAAAACTGGGTGCCAATAAAGAAGAAGCTATAATAAGCCACACCTTGCCGTACTCAAAGACGGCCTTCTTGGTGAGGTACCGATTGGAGCGTCTCATCTCCTCGAGAGCCAGAACCAGCCACTCCTCGATGTGGCCCTCGGCAACGACCGGCTCCCGAAAATCCATGACCTCGCCCTCGGACGATATCAACGCGCTCGCGACCTCGTGGTCCTGATTGTCAGGCCCGAGACGGAACTTGCTGAGGTTGTCGAACATCTTGCCCACGTGCTCCTGGATGACACTGGCCTCTGAGCTGCCGAGGATGCTCAGCAGCTCGTCGTCGCTGATGAAAGAGAAACGCGGGAAGACGGCGCGCTTGCTCTTGAGGTACTCGCTCAGGGACTTCTGGCACCTCTCCAGGGCCTCTATCAGGCCCTGGAACTCCTCCAGACGATCTGCACAAACAATAGTTTCAGCTTATGGATACCAGAAAAAAAAAAAAAAAAAAAAAAANTTTAGGGACCCTTCACGTATTATAAAGCTACAATGTATACGCTCCGTTGACCTCATCAAAATATCAATTAAATTTACCAGAAAAAAAAAAAAAAAAAAAAAGAATACAATCTATATGGTTTCTTACTCTCGACGGAACAGCACTCCAGGACGTTGGGCTTGATCGCCGTTTCAGCCATGAGCTGGCGGTAGTGGTTGTCGACGTTGTCGAAGCGCTCGGCTTCCTCGGGCAGCTGTGACCTGATGTCGCCCCCAACGAATATGCCCTCCAGGTACATCCAGCGCCTCTGGAGCTCCAGCCAGGCCTCGACGACGTCGGCTATCATCCGCATGGCCTTTTCCCACTTTTGCACGATGGCCAGGAAGGGCCCGATGAACTGGGAGGCCGACATGCTCTGCAGATTCAGGGTGTTGTCCTCGAGGATCTGGTTGAGCTCGTCGACGCTGCCGAGAACGAAGCCTCGGTCCTCGCCAGCTTTCTCGTGTCTAAGGAGCTTGAACTCCATCGTCTTCCATATGATGGCGACGTCCTGGACCCCTCGCTCGATGGCCAGCTCCCGGCTCGCGTTGTTCACGATCGTCGCGGCGATGTCTTGGTAGCGCGCCAGGTCCATCGCGAACATGTTTTCCAGGGTGAACCTTTTCTCAAAGAAATCGTTTTTGCAACGTTAAAGTGTCCATGTTGGATAAATCGTGCGGTTCGTGTCTTTTTCTACTCTACGGAAATTTACGTGAAAGAATTCGTGACTCACCCTTCCATTATATTTGCTTTGACAAGTTTCACCTCAGTTTTTCAGATTTACAACAAAAAAAAAAAATTTAACTCGTTTTTCTGCACTTTTAATTAGTGTTTATCACGACCTGCTTACACACGTTAGATTGGAATGATAAGAGGAACAAGTTGAAATATTTCCCCATGGTTGGAAATACTCCAACTTGATTGAGTCATGAAGGAAGCGTAAGGGAGATTTGGCTTTATTTGAATACAAATTAGAAAAAAATTGTACAAAAAACGTGTCTCGATGCCTATGCCTGATGAAAATACAGCGAATCAAATAAGGTACATGAAAAACAAACAACCTATGGTTAAAGTCAATCATTCTCCAGTCAAACCCTATGTACATAAGTTTACAAGAGTCAATCGAAAAATGAAATCCCAGCGCACTCTCCTATGATTATTGGTCCAACCTTTTGGGGGCCATATCGAAGTGCTTGCCAGTCTTGTCCATGAGCTCCTTCCAGTGTCTCTCGCGCATCGCCTCGTTCTTCAACTCGACAAACAGCGGCACGGAGTCCTTGAAATTCTTCATGCTGACCTCGAGAGCCCGTCCGACGCTGTGGTGCCTCAGGGCCCTGGGCAATTTTCTATACTCCTTCAAAAACCCATCCATCCCGTCGACCAACTGCTGAGGGTTCAGATTCGCCCAGAGGGTCTTGGCCCACTTGTCCCTCGCGACCTTTTGCACCCTGTACATCTTGTACAGCTCGACCATCGTCTCGTAATCGCGCTTGACTGCCCTAAAACTCGTGTAGTCGGCCGGGGACAGGTCGAACATCAGCTCGGCGTTCGTCAGATCGGTCAGCTTCTCCTCCAACCGATTTATCTCTGAGCCGTACTCCTGTGAGTCCATTCATTAGGGTATGTTTTTATTGGATAAGAAATCAATCGATAAAAATTGATTTATTTGTCGAGACTAACGTCCATCATCTTCATCCCGGCGTCCAAATCTTCGCCGCAACTGCCGGGTCCTTTGGTCTGAAACTTCTCGACGAACTTGTAAACGACGCGCTCAAACTCCTCGATTTCCACGACGGACATCTCGCAAAACTGGTCCTTGGTGCTCTCGAGGCTCGTGAACCTGTACAGAGCACCGAGGTACAGCTGTTCCCAGTCCTTGTGCAGGTTTCGGGCAGACTCTTCGTCACCCTCGTCAAACGCGAGCCCGTGCGCTCGGAGTATTTCAAAGGTCTCCTAAACGTGGACGTATTCGCGATTAGCATGACTCCTGGTGGCTGATAAAAAACATCATTGCAATCAACTCGACCGACTTGGTACATCGAATACCGCACTTCGGCCTGTATGGCCGTGCGCTTGACGTCGGAGATGCTCTGCATGACAGTTTTGAACTTCTCGAGACCGCTGACCACCAGTTCCGTGAGGATTCTGTACTTGTCGATCATCGCCTTGAAATCCTTCACCTCGCCAAGTGTCTTGGACAGCAAAAAGTTCCCCAGTATCGTCTTCCACTCCGATGCGTGATCCTTTATGCCGGTTAGTAGCGGCTGGAGATTTATCCTAAAATTAAAAAAAAAAAGAGACAGCAGTTGGGACTTTTTTTTTTATTACAAATCGTGTTGCATAATGACCTGATGCTCGAAATATCGTAGTAGTCCGTCATTTCGTCGAGCTCCTCGATGATGGAGTCGTAAAACGAGAACTTCTCGTCGTACTGCTGCAAAGTCGGATTGGCCGTAACGAATTTTTCGCAGCCCTGCGCCTTGTTGGCCGTCCACAGGTTGCCGTACTGTTTCCACTTTTGCAGGTAACGATGGCAGTCCTGGGCCAAACGGTGCGACATGTCTTGCAGCGTGAATATCAGATCGTTTACCACCTGAGCACGCGCAAAGTAGTATACATATAACGTCTTTTTCACACAGCCAGAAAAAAATGAATGTAATATAATATAATTTTAGTTAAAAGAACCACCTGAACTCCCATCACGTCCTCGTAGAAGCTGAACGTCACGAAATCCGTGTCGGAAGCGTCTTTGATGGGTTTGCACTCGAGACAGGTTCGTGCCATCCATCTCGGGAAAACCTTGAGCCACTCCATGAGATCCTTGACGTTGTTCATGATCGCCGCTTGGATCTCAGTGGCAGCTGGATTCAACGTCACCTCCGAGCCCACCAGGGCTGCGTCGACTTTGAACACGGCTTTGTTCCCAGACAGCAGGTGTTTCAGGTGCTCCAAATTCCTCACGAAGCATCTGGAACGACAAGCTTGATTTATATACATCTTTTTATAAACACAGAGGCTTTGTCGAGGTTACGTGATGAGAGCCGTGAAAGTCTTGTGCTCGTAACGCTCGTAGCAGAGCAGCATAGCCTGGCTCTTTCCCGTCGACGTTCCCTCGACGAGGCTCTCGAGTTTCACCAGCATCGGGCCCATGGTCTGATAGCTATTGAGCATCGCTCCGACGAGTTCCGTCCTCTTGCTCACGACTCGGGCAAAAAAATCCTGAAACGTTTATTCTTTCACTAGTACATACACACACACGCACACGTGTTGGTATCGGGTAAAATCTCTCTCTCTATAGTCAACGAAACTTTGCAAGACGGTATCTCGTCGTCGAGCCGATCGGTATCTCTGTCGATCGTGAATAGGTTGTAGCGACTGAGATCGTCATCGATGCTCGCGTCGAGATCGCGGCGAATCCGGTTGATCTGGTCGACGAGCGAGGAAAGGCTCTTCAGGAGCTTGATGCAACTACTCGCGTAGTCCCCGATCCCCAGGGAGTACCAGTTAAGTCGCGTCACCCCTGGCTGGATGCTCTTCTCTACCTTCTCCAGCGTAGCTTTGAGCAACAAGATCTGCGACCGATTTCTTTCCATTAATTCACAGTCGATGAAATGTAGATCTACCCAAATAGATCCTTACATCAGCTTCGTCCAACTGGTTGATGATGTCGTTGTACTGGTTTATCATCTTCTCCACGGCCCAGCGATCGGCAAGCAGCCTGTACTTTTGTATGCCGATTTCTCTCACCGATTCCGGCAACTCGAACCCCAAATGCTCCAGCAGCTCGGCCTGACAATCAAAACGAAAATCACATCTGTTTGTCTACCAAACAGGAGTACTAAAATTCCCCACCTCGCGCGTCATCTCGAAAACTTGGGTGTCAAAGTTCACGGTGAGCTTCATCTGGTTGTCCAGTAGAATGGCCCCGCGCATCAGTTCCGTGTTTTTAACGATCTGCTGCTGCAGTCTGTCGGTGGAAGACGACACCGAGGACAGCCTGGCCTTGGATAGCTTCTGCTCGGACTTTCTGTCGGCGCGACTCGGGCCCCTGACCGTGACGATGGTTCTTATACTCGGGTTCAGCGAGCCTTTGGTATCTGTACGAAACAGCTTTGATCGGATGAAAGAAACACGAACTTTGGAGAAAAAGAAAAAAGGACGGAGCGCGATTGTACGAGGAAGGAGGATATGGTAGGAAGGGGTTCACCGATGCTCTGCCTGCGGGACATCTGATAGCTGATCCTATCGTCGTGGGAGGCCGTGCGGGAAAGGGAGATCGAGCTGCTGCCAAATTTCTTCAGGACGTTGACTTTGATCTTAGATTGGGCAGCGCGCGCGTCGCCTTATGTGGTCCCGACAATGGATTCGATCAGCTAAACAACAATCGATTCGACTCGAGCGATAAAAAAGCCAAGAGTAACAATCACCCTGTTTCCTCTCGAACGGCTGGAGAGTCAAGACGCTCGACCTCATGGTGTTGTGGAGAATCGGCCGGGCTCTTCGAACAAACTCCTCGAACTTGGCGTCCTCGAAGCTCTTCATCTGCTTGGCCACGCCGACGTACTGCTCGAAAGCAAAATCCTTGAGCTGGCTGTTCTTCAGCTCCTCCACCTCCTGGAATATCAGCGCCGGCCTCTTCATCCTGTGGAACAGCTGTCTCTCCCAGTAAATGGCACCGGCGATCGGCGGGTGGTAGCGCAACAGCGGTGGATTCTTTTTGCCTTTGGACCAGTTGAGCGAGAGATCATCGGTTATACGACGAAGAAATAAAAGTTGTTGCATACCTCTGCTGAAGATCTCGTCGATCTCATTGATCTCTTTGCTGAACTGCTGCATGATGATGTCGAACTTGACGGCCAGCCTCTCCTGGACGGCTTCCCTGGTCCGCATGCCCCGGAACTTCATGAGCATGGCCAGGGCGTCCTCGGCCCTGATGAGGGTGGTGAAACACTCGTCGATGAACACCTTGGCCCCGGCCTCGAGTCTCTCGACCTCCGCGCGGAACCACGACATCGTCGCCTCCCAGCTCTCCCGGTTGTACTCGTTGAAGGCGTCGACCTCCGATATGAGGATCGGGCCCAGCAATTTTCCCACCCGCTCGTTGATCGCGTCGATGCGCGCGGCGTCGCTCACTATCGACTTGAGCTCCTCCCCGAAGATGTTGTAAAAGTCCCTCAGGACCCCCGCGACTTCGTGCAAATCCGCGCTCGACTAACAATTTGGAGTCCCTTTTTTACTCCTCCGTAGGTATATGGATACAATATCTTACCGATGCCAGGTAGTCGGTGTCCTTGAATATCCTCCTCTGGTCAAACTCCCAGCGCATGCCCTTGCCCATCAGCTCGATGCTGGCGCGGGTGTCGAGGTACGCTCTCTTCCACAGGCTCAGCACTCTGTGGGCTCCGTCGGTCTTTTTGAGTATCGACTCGAGGGGCTCCCTGGCAAAAGAGGCGATGGATTGTACTTTACTTTGGATTACTCGACCGGAGAACAAAAAAAAAAAAATAAGGCACCCGTACTCGAAGAGTTTTCTGATGGATATCTTCCTGGTGACGGTCTGGCGCAGCTGCCAGGAGATTCTCTCGAGCAGGGAAATCATCCGCTCCTCGATCGAGTAGTACCTCGACAGGGTCCAAATCATGCTCAGGTGCTCGTACAGCGACGGGATCACGTTTATTATACCGGTTAACGAGTCGCCCTCCATTATCTGCGACAAATAACCGCTCATCAGAAAGAAGAAGGAGAAAAACAACGTGTTGGGGTCGCGCGCACCTTGAAGTATCTCAGGACGGTCGAGAGAAACTTGTTGTTCTCCTTGGCTTCTTCGTAGCACTCGGTGAGCTCGTTGTCAAAGTACCGGAAGCCAGCGCCAATGGCCGAGTTCGCCGAATCGAGGACCCCGAGGATCTTACCGATCGCTGGCGAGCGCAGCTGCTCGACCAGTGGGGACAGCCCCGACTCGCGGTCGCGCCAGTGCGCGTACTCGGCCAGGGGACCCTGGCCCTGCGGCTTCTTCACCCCGAACGACTCCAACACCTTTTCTATGTGCTTCTCCCAGGTCAGGACGATCTTCTCGAGCCTCTCCACGAGCTTCCAGTTCTTTGCCAAATCGGCGATCTCCACTCCCGGGGCCACGTTGCCAAACACCTCCGGCACCGTCAGCATCACGTCCGTCTCCGCCTGATCCTTTGTCCTTCAAAACATCCATTGATTCCCCCTTCCTTGTTCGTTCCACTTGTGCGAAACAACTCACCACTCGACCGAGTCGATGAGCTTCGTCATCCGGTCCAAGAACTCGGCCTTGCCGCTGTCTCCCCGGTCCAGGTGCGGCGCAAAGGCAGGGCTCACGGACTTTTTCAGGTCGTCGAGGGTCTGGGCCATCCCCGGGGCCTTTATCATCGAGGCTATGTCTTCGGGGCTCTGGAACTGCGCCTTGGCCAGGGGCAGGAAGATGTTCTTCAGGAGGAACTCAAACGAGTCGAGGAACCGGCCTTGTAGCGAACCGACGATCACGTGGCGCGGCATGTCGGCCCAGCACTCGGCCCGCGAGTTGTAGCTGGGCACCGCGGCGTCGCTCGCGCGGATGACGTATATCAGACGCTGATCGTCCAGTTCCAGACTCGAGCCGTCCAGCTCGCCAAAAAAGCAGTGCAGGACCGGGATTCGCACCACGCGGTCCACGACTTTCTGGGTGGAGGATCGTTTTCCCGTCAACCCCCTCCGTTTGCTCCAACATTTGGTTTTTCGGGTCCATACTTACCCTTGTCAGTATGTAGTTGTCCTCTTCCCCGGGCGGAGGGACAAAGTTTTCGTTATCGTCTGGGCAAAAAATCGTCATTCGCAACCGGTGTAGGGTTGTTTGAGTGGGTAGGTACTGGGTAAAATCGAGAAATGAAACGTACAAGCGGCACTGTGGAGGATCGGTTGGCTCTTGTCTCGCATGAGCGCGGCGAAGACGTCTTCGTCCTCGAACTCGGTCTCGTAGCCGGCCTCCTCCTCCTCCTCGTCGCCGGTAGTCGACCGGTTCGACCGCAGAGCCGTTTCCGAGTCCAGCTTGTCGATCGCCACGTTGTTGTCCGTCCTTATCGACTCGCTCCTCTCCAGCTTCGGCTTGCCCCTCTTCGACCTCTTTGACTTTTTCTTCATCTTCTCGTCTACGCAATTATTTCTGTTTATCTCACTTTTGTTGTAACAACCATGGGTTGGTACTACTAAGCGTGTTTATCGTGCTTTGGCGTGCGATTTGGGTGCATAAATCGTGATTGAAATGTATAATATGTTTGGATGATTAGTGACCTGGCGCGCTCTTTACTAATCTTTGGGCTTTCACCTGGGCCGCAAAAGATCCCATGGCTGCGATTTTCGACCGACCTAGTTGCATTGCCATACATCGTGGTCGGTGTGTAAACGAGGCTTGGAAGACATTTTTCATGTAAATGATAATTCAAACCATTACCTTCCTCCCAAACGGATACTTCTTCCTGCACTATCTCGTCCCTGTAGGTTTTGTAAAAGAAGACCTGCTTGCGGTTGGGGTCGCTGATTTCGTGGGTCTTTGTGTTGAAGAACTTTAAGAGCTTCTCTTCGACTTCGCGCCCGTTTGCCTAAAGATATACACATTTATATATATATATATATATATTTTTTTTTTTTCATCAAGAGTTGCCATGATATTTCGTTTGATTACGTTGATGAGGTCGTTGAACATCTTGTGCGCGTCGTCGAGTCCGAGGAACTTCAGCACTTTGTCTTGCAGCCACATGATGCTAGTTGCAACAGAGAGACGCGTGTGTTTTTATTAGCTACGGAGTTTTTTTTTTTTTTTTTTTTTTTTTTTTTTTTTTTTTTTTATGGTAAATCGACGAGTGTACCGGTAATCGTTGTCGTCCGAAAAAACCGACGACGACGCGCTGTAGGATTTTTTCGTCGAGTCGACGTCTTCGTGATCGCCCTCCGTCGCGTAACTACCGATGGTGGGTGCATAGTTTTCGTCCGTCGCTTCGGACATGCTTTTACTTTTTATTTACGAATCTTGCGATGACTAGTTGTACCATTGGGTGTTAGGTTATTCTTAGGGGTCGGATGACACTCCAAACAACCTGTTCGATATTTTTGTGACCGTAGCCATGGCAGCGTAAACATCTTCCCACTCGCAAGCGCGTTTCCAACAATGACGCGGAAATCGATAAACACCTTGCGAGCTCGAAGTTGCTTTTTCGTACTGGAAAATATTCAAAACCATTGGAACATAAGTGGAAAAATTTCCGACTGTTTTTGGACAGTTGTGTTTTAAAATTTATCAATTTTTGTTAAGCATAATTTTTTTCATTTTCATTTTTTGTTTTCTCTTCGATATTTTTCTGTTCTGCTAAAAAAGTCACACGTACCTTATTCTACTGATTTAAAACAACTTAGTTTTTATCAAAACCTTTTTATAAAATCCTAAGTGTTGTATGCAGAAAAAATTCGTGGAAAAACAAATTATAGTTTACCTTTACGCGAAGAGAAAGCATAGATTTATAGATTATTCTTCTGATCAACGATGAATAGGTATAGTGACGAGGCCAACAGAACGATAATTGTTAATTTTTATTTTTCATTTTATTCGTCGCACGCTGTTTTACATTACAATTTACAAACTATAAAATATTATACATCCAGTCACTTTTCGCATCTTATCAAGTAAAATATCATACAATAGTACAAAAACTTACAATTATTGATGTTGAACGATAAAAAAAAAAAAATACACAATCCATACGATAAAATCGCTTAAATGCTACTTTTATCATTCGGTGCCTTTCATTACATCAGGCATATCTTTAAAATTGTTCATCACATCTGCCCTCGTCTCTTCGCTTTTCCGGCTACCACTATTGATTTCTACATCACTTTTCTCCTCAACGCTCGCACTCGCCAATAGATTGCTGTCCTTGATTTTACTCGGACTTTCGTCACTCATGACGATACCTTTCTCAACAGCATCGAGATATTCCATCCTTCCCTTGTAGCTACCAAAGTCGAAACTTATCGAGGGAATAAACTCGGTTTCTACTACTGTTCTGCTCGTACTCGTTGACCCGATAAACTTGTCATCTTGACTTTCGACGCTCAATCCTGACGATGGGATGGTTGGCTCAAATAAGTTACCTTCAAGTTTCACTTGAGTATTGGCATATTGTCTGTTTCTTTGTTGGTGATTTTCATTATTTGGCTGTTCAGTACTTAATTGCTGAGGAGCATAGCTCCCTGGACGAGTCTTTTCATCGGTGCTTACGGGATTTTCGACATTGTACAGGTTGAAATCTGGCTGTGGAACTTGCACGAATTGCTGGTTCTGGTTGAGCGAGAGGACGTTTATTTCTGGGGTATTTTTAACGCTGTACGCCGGAGTAGCTGAAACGCTCTTGTTCGACTCGAACTTCTTTTCCTCGTCACGATTTTGATCCTTCAGTATCCAATAGATGTTGCTGTTTATTTGCTGGATCGCCGGTTTCCTGGATGTTTTGGTAAACTTCGGTGCCGCAAATTCGTCGACTTCGATGGTGTATTCGCCGTCATATGGATTGTCGCTAACTTGTCCATCGTCTAATCTCGGTGGTTCTCGGTCGAAGTTATTGTTCTGTTGCCTAAAATTGTTGAAATTTTGATTGTCATTAGTTCTCGTGTTTGGTCGTGGGTGGTTCAAGTTAGCTGGATTATTTAAGCTTTGGCCAACCTCGTTGTGCCCGAAGGGCCTTGGCGCGCGGTTGTTGTCAACCAACTGGCTCATCGTGTACAAAAAGTTTACAGCCTTGTTTCCCTCCAGTTGTGAATTTATGGCTTGGGCGTCGGTACTTTCACGCACCTTTGGCCTCTCGGTGACGCGCGCCACGAATTTCACGCGACCCTTTCCCGAGATCTTAGCCCCAAAGTCTTCGAACAGGTTGGTGTCGATGTCTTCGGCGTTTTCGTAGTTCTGGTAGTCATAGTTATCGATTTCCACGCTCTTTTGAGTGACCACGCGAGCTCTCTCGGTGTTTGGTGCTCTCGCGTAAACCGGAGTTGTCTGGTGGACGTCGAAAACTCGTGGTCGATTGTCAAATGTTTGTTGCTCTTTCGGCTTACTGGTGACCAAAACTTCTGGATTGTTGTTCCCGTGACGAGCTTGATAGTTTTCCGACCAGTTACGCTGAGCTTGATAGCTTCTGGTGCGAGTACTTTGATTAGCTACGGTGCTCGGATGGTGGAATTTTTCTGATTCTTCGGGCTGATGGTTCCTCGCGGCGGTTTCACCTCCATAGTTGACGGTCGTGGTGGATACAAAATAATTGGTTTTCGGAGTTCTAAAGTTATTTTGCAACGGCTGTTTCTGGCCTTGGACGTTTTCGCTGCTATAACGTAGCTGAGATGCTTGCGTGGTTGAAGGTACAACCTGATGTCTCGTCGAACTAACGCCGTCCTCTTGGTGATCTCTGGCTCTCGAGTCGGTGGCGATATTTCGAAAACTCGCAGGACTTGTTTGTACTTGAGCGGCCGTGGATACAACCGACGGCGCTTGGTAGTTGCGGAAAGTCGTTGAAACCACTGCTGGTTGAGGCTGAACACTTTTCTGGTTCTGTTGGTTACTGTCGCGATTGTAATGGAACCGAATATTCTGGTAAGTCCTTACTCGTGGGGTGGGACCACTTTGAAATTGATTCTGATCGGTCACCAAGTCTCGATACACCGCTTCGGTCGGCGGTACGATTTCAAGCTTTTCCCATGGACTTTTTTGTTTCTTCCCTGCGTGCAGACCATTGGATGCCGGAAAACCGGCAGTAGTCAATCCCACGGTGACTTCCAAAGGAGCGTTGCTCTCTTCCACCGTATCGAAGGCTTTTTTGACTTCGTCTGGGAATAATGTGGTTTGCTCTTCCAAAACTGTTGTACCGCTCGATACATCTTCGGGAGTTGAAGTTTCCAGTGACCTCGGCAATTCTTGAGGCTCAGTTGGACTAGTTTCTTCCGTAGGTGGAACTGTTTCTTCGGTAGTCTTCTTTTCTGGAACATTGATGAGGAAGCCAGACATTTTGCGGGCTTTTTGCTTCCTGGGAGCCTCATCTGCCGGCGTCGCTTCGTTCTCCGACGACGCAACGACGACGACCATTTCCGTGGATTCCTCCGACGACTGGGGCAACGTTGACTTTTCAAATGGCTCCGTCGTAGTATCGACGTTGCCTTCGGCTTTTTCTTTCACGCCGACCGTCAAGTTTTCGGTGGCTAACTCATTATCGTTGTCGAAGCTTTTCAGTTTTTCTTCCGACTTTGACTGAATTTCGTTGATGCTCTCCTTGGCATCGTTCCGCGGCGGAAAAGTCGTGGCTATCGCCTCATCAACCCCTGGCGAGTCAGTTTCCAAAGTCGTTGCCTCGACTTTACCTTCGCCAACCTGAACGGTCACGGGCTGCTCTTTCTCAAATTCGCGCTCAGCGTGGGATTTCGCCAGACCTATGCTCTCCTTGAGCTCCATGTCCTCGTTATCAACGGCCGTAATATCTCCCACGACCACCTGGTTGCCAGTAAACGCGTGTCCAAACGGTGCCGCCGTCGTCGACACTCGTCTTCCTTTTTCTCCCCGTCCGCGAGATGCTACATACGTTTGGAATGGCCGGGCTGACGATGAGATCGCAGCACTGTTGTCATTGCCATTCGCTAAGGGAGTCGTCGATCTCACACTCGGCTCCGTGGTCGAGGTTACCGCAAAAGGCGTGTAACGAGCTGTGCTTGTGGATGACCTGGGGAAAAAAGATAGCCCATCAGAAAAACAAATTGATTCCTAATAGGTGCAAAGATCGGTGCATACGTGGAAAAACCTCGGCCGCGGTCCGTGTGGTCCCTGACGCGGGCGTGGTACCTGTGCCTGCCCCTGTAGCCCGGGTGCTCAAGGTGGTTGGCTTGCACCATGGCAACCGGGGCCGACAGCTCGCTGTCTTGGTCGGGCTCGGCCGCGTGGCTCTGAACACTGTAAAACTGGTGGCTCTGGGCGCACGATACTTTGGTCCACCAGTCGCAGGTGAGCAGACGTTGACTGAACAACGAGCCCACCGGGCACAGGAAGGAGCTCGCGAAGCCAGAGTCGCACAGGTGGAACACCTGACAGCCCGTCTCCTCGTCCGCGTAGTACCCTGTGGACCGCGTGACTTTTTTAATCCCAACAATCGGATTGTTAGTTTCATTGAATAATATGTAGGTGTACTCTTTATTGCCGTGAAGAAATCGAGGGTAACGAAAAACAAACCAAAAACAAATGCCTAGTATATACAAAGATTGATTTTCGCATAAAACTGGTAGAAAAGAATCACCCATGAAAAAAAAAAAGGGTACAATCGATTCGATTTATCCTTTGCACAATATCGATGCAGCTAGAGACGCTCGTCGAGCCGTTTCGTCGTTAAAGGAACAGTGAAGCCGCACATTTGACAGTCGTCCAAAGGATTGAAAAATGAAAAAGTGCGGAGAGGGAGAGAAAAATCGGTATTATCGCCGATCAAGCCGAGAGAGGTAGCCCGGGGATCGCTCAATCATCGCTGAAAAGGGAAAGGTTCGAGTGGGCAATAATAAGAGGAGACTATGGATGTGCGGCCGTGCCCGTATTTACACTCTAATAATACCAACGACACACGGAGCACGACTGCCGTCTTCTGATGTCTCCTCGACTTGACAATCGGCTTCGGGCATCTCGGGTGTCTCTCCCTTTGAAATTGCTTTGTTTAAAAGTAAAATGTGTACTTTTTTTTTTTT